GAAGCCTGGATAAAATAATATGGAGGAGAGGCTCTTACCCAAACAGCAAATCCCCCCCTCTCCACATCACGGAAATAGTCCAATGGAATGGCAAGAACCAATACAATTGGTTCCAGCAATGTCACAGGAGTTGCCAGAATGACAAGAAATGCCTCCGGGACTCCGGCTCTGGATTTTGCCTCGAGGTTAACTCCTGAAGCCTTTTCCATCAGTGAATATAGCTACAAGCCAGTGGAGGTTTGAAATTGGAGTTTTTCTTCTCCTAGATGGGCTGCCTTCCAAGGCTGACGAGCCCCACCTACCTGGCTGGTTCAAATTACACTGTGATATTTAAAGAACGTTTGCATGTAACCAGTGACCTGTTATTCAAATAATAATAATAATTTAAAAACCCCAACAACATCAGCTCAGTCCTCTCCTGACATGCTTCTGTTTTAAAGAAAATGGTGCTTGTGTGGCTGGGTATTTTGACTGGAAGAACTCTCCCTCCCCATGCGTGTTTCCAGCTTCAAGGAAGGAATGACTCCTTTGGAGTACTCTGAAATTCACTGATTGATCATTGGTTGGTTCTATGAAGCAGGGAACAGTTTCAGTTCCTCATATTAATGTGGGGAAGGAGTGGATACACGTCTGTGAGGCATTGCCTTCATGCCACATTGTTAATCTCATTTGCCGAGATGGGGGATAACATTCTGAGCGAACAATTTGGGGAAAGATTGTAAGCCAGATTTAGGGGAAGGTTGTAAGCCATACCCTTCCGTGGCAGAGATGCGCAGTCCTGCAGTCTGCACCACCCCTCCATCAGCCAGTTTTTCTTGCAAGGAAGGACTCTGGTGAGTCGTGTTCTGCTAAGAAGGCAACAGCCTTTTCTGCTACCAGAACCTCTCATATATAACTACCGTATTTTTCGCTCCATAAGACGCACCGGACGTTAAGACGCACTTAATTTTTAAATACTGAAAATTAAAATAAAATAAAAATATATAAACAGAGCAAGTCCCGCACTGGGACTGCCAAAATAAAAATCACCAAAACACAAAGCAACATAGAAACATACCCCCCAGCCCAAACCTACCCTCCAAAACCCACCCAGAACATTTTTAAAAAGTAAAAAGCAGCAACTAATTTTTAAATACCAAAAAATAAAGTAAAAATAAATAAACAGAGCAAGTCCCATACTGGGACTGCAAAAAAAGTACCAAACCACAAATCAACATAGAAACATACCCCCCAGCTCAAACCTACCCTCCAAAACCCACCCAGAACATTTTTAAAAAGTAAAAAGCAGCAACTAATTTTTAAATACCAAAAAATAAAGTAAAAATAAATAAACAGAGCAAGTCCCATGCTGGGACTGCAAAAAAAGTACCAAAACACAAAGCAACATAGAAACATACCCCCCAGCCCAAACCTACCCTCCAAAACCCACCCAGAACATTTTTAAAAAGTAAAAAGCAGCAACTAATTTTTAAATACCAAAAAATAAAGTAAAAATAAATAAACAGAGCAAGTCCCATGCTGGGACTGCAAAAAAAGTACCAAAACACAAAGCAACATAGAAACATACCCCCCAGCCCAAACCTACCCTCCAAAACCCACCCAGAACATTTTTAAAAAGTAAAAAGCAGCAACTAATTTTTAAATACCAAAAAATAAAGTAAAAATAAATAAACAGAGCAAGTCCCATGCTGGGACTGCAAAAAAAGTACCAAAACACAAAGCAACATAGAAACATACCCCCCAGCCCAAACCTACCCTCCAAAACCCACCCAGAACATTTTTAAAAAGTAAAAAGCAGCAACTAATTTTTAAATACCAAAAAATAAAGTAAAAATAAATAAACAGAGCAAGTCCCATGCTGGGACTGCAAAAAAAGTACCAAAACACAAAGCAACATAGAAACATACCCCCCAGCCCAAACCTACCCTCCAAAACGGGGCCTGCTGAGGCCTCCGGAGGCCTCGGAAGCCAGCGATGGTGCCGGGGGGAGGCCCCCACGGGGCCTGCTGAGGCCTCCGGAGGCCTCGGAAGCCAGCGATGGTGCCGGGGGGAGGCCCCCACGGGGCCTGCTGAGGCCTCCGGAGGCCTCGGAAGCCAGCGATGGTGCCGGGGGGAGGCCCCCACGGGGCCTGCTGAGGCCTCCGGAGGCCTCGGAAGCCAGCGATGGTGCCGGGGGGAGGCCCCCACGGGGCCTGCTGAGGCCTCCGGAGGCCTCGGAAGCCAGCGATGGTGCCGGGGGGAGGCCCCCACGGGGCCTGCTGAGGCCTCCGGAGGCCTCGGAAGCCAGCGATGGTGCCGGGGGGAGGCCCCCACGGGGCCTGCTGAGGCCTCCGGAGGCCTCGGAAGCCAGCGATGGTGCCGGGGGGAGGCCCCCACGGGGCCTGCTGAGGCCTCCGGAGGCGTCGGAAGCCAGCGATGGTGGCGTGGAGGGGACAGTATTTGCTCCATAAGACGCATACACTTCTCCCCCCACTTGTTTTGAGAGGAAAAGTGTGTCTTATGGTGCAAAAAATACGGTATTTTGTCTTGGGTTTGCTCAGCAAAGAGCACAAGATGAAAGGAAAAAACTACTGTTGTTATTTTTTAAGGAAGGCGAGAATGAGTGAGAAGGGGGGGGAATCAGAAGCTGAGGATGAAAGTAGATGGAAACATGGCACACGTCTGTTTGAATGTGTGTTTGCCCCAATCTGGGATAACTTGGGCAACCGAGGCAGCAGTGGCTATTTTGTCTGTCCTGCACGTGCCACAGTTTCCACATGTTGAAAGAAGGGCTGAAACACTCCCTTCAGATCATGGAGGCTGTATCTGTGGAGGGGACTCCTGAATACTTCTCAAACGTGCAGGGCATGTGTCCTCATTTTGCAAAATAAAAGCAAGTTAATTGACAAAAATGCAGATTGGAGCACACTCAGAATAGGCAGGCAGTCTTTTCCTCTTAAGGCAGTGTTGCTGCTAAGGCTGTGTCAACTCCCTAGTTTGGTCCTCTGACAGTTTTGTGGGTTTATTTAACACAGGGTGGGATAAGGTGGCTGCTGAGCTCTCTTTTTGGAGCACTTGCAGCATTGTCTGATTCGATCAATTGTTTGGTGACAATGCAACATGCAGGAGATGGTGAATCAGGCCAGCCTCGCTCCCTGCCCAGTCTAGACCTTTTTGGTCTAGCTAATCATCTTTGGGGTGGGCTGGAGAAATTGGAACCAGATTGCATTTGGACAGAAGGGTCACGTCAAAGGGTCTATTTAAAGATCACACCTCGCGAAGCAACCCTTTCTGGTGCAATCCAGTATGATCTTGATAGTGCTGTCTGATCACACTCTCAGAGTGCTGTCTGCAGAACTGCAGCCTCACTCAAATTGGACTGAATTCTTCCTTTGGGTTCTAAATGTTAACAATTCATATAGCAACAATTTTCTCTGTTTTTTAAATCCCAGTGGTAAGCTTGTAGACCAAATGACACCACCTGTGCACAAAAGTGATGTATCAAGAGGCTTGGGAAATCACAAGCAGGGGGAGCGGGAGCCTTTAAAGGACTGAGCATGGAATGCTGGTCCATTGCCAGGAAACACAGTTAAGGGAAGAGGAAACCACTTTTTAAAATTAATAATTTTGTTTTTGCAAGTATAACATAACAAAAAACTACACGTTAAAGAATACGTGATAACAACAACAACAAAAAACAAAATACAGTTATAACTCAAGATGGTGTTACCCACCACTTTCAGGATTCCCCCCTCCCAATTTTACAGTATCATTTTATTTGATATTTTGTTTGATATTTTGTCCCCTGTATCTTTCCAGATATGAGGTATACTAGTGTCAGGGCATAACCTTTACACTTACAAAATATATGTGTTAAGAAAGCATTACAGATCTCATTAAAACAGTTTCCTTTCAATATTCCTTTTCTAACTTTCAATCCACAGGTTAATTAATCATTAATAACCAAATTCAACATTTCATTGTACCAGTCCTCCATATTAAACTGGTTATTTTCCTTCCAATTTCTTGCAAATAATAATAATTAATTTCATTTACCCATTGAATATTTCCAGATGTATTTAACAAAACTAACACCTTAGTATTTCAGTCCCCATGATTTCCTTAATCTCATTCAAAACAGTTCCTTCACATGCCCACCACATATGGAAATGTGTTCTCCATTCTTTCTTACATCTCCAACACACAGGTGATATCTCTTTATTCATTATATTTATTTTCATTGGTGTTAAATACCATCTCCATATTATCTTATAACAAATTTCATTTTTTGTACATATTTTTCATTCTTCTTTGTGGCCTCTGTGAATGCACACGAATGGGCTTACTGCACCTGCTCAGGACTCCTCAGAATCTTCTAGACCTTAAAAACATGTGATTAGTAGGACGTTCCCCCGTGGTGTACATGCTCCGCCTGCTTGAAATCCCTTCAGTCCCTTTACCTTCCACTGAATTCGGACTCCTTTAGTGACTACTAGAGCATATTTCTATTTCTTTACGGTTTTTCGTATTTTTGGACTGATTAACGTTGACGATATCTGGATTTCAGATTTGATCTTGTCTCTTTTGGACGTTTCCCTGTGAGGGTTTTTTTTTTTGGTTCCCTTTTTTATGGCCCCTCCAGGTCCTTTCAAACGTTGCAGGTCATTTGCCAATAAGATCCCCCTCTCTGGGGGCCACGATCGCTGCTTGTTTTGCCTTGGGGAACAACATCAGACCCACTCCTGCCAGGACTGCGGGGGGTTGACCAAGCCTGCTCTCAAGCTCCATTTGCAGTTGGCTTCAGCCTTTTCTCTGGGAAAAAATATTTAGGACCAAGTTCCCTTTCCATTATGGAACCTCCCTTAATACCTGTTCTGCAGTCCAAGTCAGTAGACCAGCCATTGACTCCCACTACACTGTCTCCAAAACAAAAATCGACCTCCAAGTCATTGAAGTTGAAGCTGCCCTCGAGTGCAAAGCCTGTGCCAGTCTCTAAGTCTCCGTCTGTCTTGACGGGTGGCCATTCTCCTAAGAAAAACAAAAGAGACCTTGCTAAGCAAAAGAAATCAAAGCATTCCTCTAAATCTAGCCAACATAGAGAACTTCCTTCAATCCTCATATTGCTCCCGTCTGCGATCCTTGAGGAGTCCTCCAGGGAGTTATCTAATCTGGATTCCCTGTCTGAAGCTGCCAGTCCGGTGCCGCCGCCTCTGATTCAGGCTTCAGGGTCAATATCAAGCCTCTCTCCAAGTCATGGCCATTCAGAGGCTGATGATCCCTCCAGCCTGGCCTTGGCCCATTCAAGCCCTATTTCCATCAGGCGGGCAACTGTGATACAGCTCTCGAACTCCACAGTTTCCTCCACGTAAACGTTCAGCTAAACAGCACCATATTTCTCCACCGGTGCAGCTGCCACCACTTTGGGACATTATTTATATCCCGTGACCCACTCAACACCAACAGTTGCCGGACTATCATGAGCTGTGTTATGGGGAGTGTGATTGACATTGATACTCTTATGGTGATGTCGGTCCCTACTACGAATCCTACTACCATGGGCAACCTAAGAGAGTGTGTTGTGCCTGTGATATTCTCCCTCTGATTCATCTCCATCTCCTTCACCTCCTCCACCTCAGCATTGACACTGCGGCTATTACCATCTCAATCCCGTCATGACTGGTGATTTGCAGAGAAGTAGAACGCTTATCTCAGGACTCCTTGATAAGGTCCAGAATAGCCAGAATGAAGGCAAGACTCAGAGGCACAAGCCTTCTATTAAACACAATATGCAACCCTCTACTAACATCTTACATATTACACTTAATATCACTTCTCTTTGCTTATTATCTTCCCTTTTCTTCAATAATTTCTTCAAATTTAGTCATCATCCAACATTCTCCTTCCTTTTTTGGGGGGGGAGACTTTTCTAAGTGTATGCTTTCCACCTTGTGAACCGCACTCTCCTAAAATGTCACTGTGTCTGTTTTTCAAAAGGTGAAAAACACTGCATCCTTTTGTGACTCTGGCTTGTGTTTCAGGTTGGAGGTTCTTGGCGATGGAGGAGATTGTGCTTATTTGGACAATGAATTCAGAGCCATTTCAGCCAGGTGTAGAACAACATTCCGTTGGATGTGCAGCAAACCGGATGTGTTGAAATAGCTGTTACATACAGCACTGATGGTACCTGTCTGTCATGGGTTTGGAGGGAAAGTTCCATCCTATGGGGAGTGGAAGGCGGGACATCAGGGGGGAGGAGCTGTACTGTATATATATTTGGAGCTGATGTAGAGTGAAGAGTTGGAGTCTGTGTGTCAGACTGAGTACAACTGTTTGTCAGTTAGTACATACCTGACAGGTTCAGGTTTCTTTATAGGTAGCCAGAACTGATAGGTTCAGGGTCTGTGCTTTACTTTAAAGGGTTCTGTGGGAACCAAACTTATATGTATATGTTTGGGACTTTGCCACGTTACAGTATCTTATTTACTTGATCTTTTTATTTACCCTGTTTGTGATTTCAATAAACCTTGTTCTTTTGTTTGTTAAAATCCATTCCTGGTCTGTGTGACTCCTTATAGGGAATGGTTGGTGGCAGCTTAATTAAAGGGTGGTATACTCCAGTAGGTCTGGGGTTGTCACAATAGCCAAAGTAAATGAGAAAGATGATCAGACAAGAGGGGTACCCGGAAGCATTCTACAGCAAAACAGACCAAGAGGAGAAAATGACTGTACACTATTCACTGTTACCTTCAGCCCATACCTTAGCCACTCATGTGCACTGGAGAAACTGTTTTGTGAGCCGCCCAGAATAGACTGTGTCTAAATGGGTCTGTGTCTAAGTGGGCAGCATATAAGGGCCATAAAGCCAATTAAAAACGTGGTTGTTTAAACAGGCTTACCCCCCAGTCAATTAAGTCATTTTCCTTTTCTCTTTCTCTATCTTTTTTTTTTTTTTGTATACCACCATCTTGGAAACCTTTTGTTTAGTACTAATTTAGTATAAATGCATTTTATATGTTTTTTAACTTGTTTTAACTGATGTAAGCCGCCCCGAGTAGACGTTGTCTAGAGGGGCGGGGTAAAAATCAAATAAATAAATAAATAAATAAATAACTAAATAAATAACTAAATAAATAAATAACATTAAAAACAAAGAACAACAAAAAAAGACTTTGTAGAATAGCAGAAGCTTCTTCTTACGAAGTCTTGAGAAGGAATCGCCAGTGCAGTAAATCATATACAGACAGCAGGAATGCGTGCAGAGAAATATATTTACATGGCTATACAAACTAACATAGTGTCCACAGGAACTTACATTCAGAATTGACCAGGCAGAACTTCACCAAGACAATCAAGCAAAGAATTGCAAAGAACACAGTAACTATTCCCTCAATTTATATTTCCTTCAGCCAATCAAATCAGGGTTTGTTTTAGGATAACCTGTCCTTCACGGCTGTGTTCTAGTCACATAGGCACTGACTCAGTATTTAATTAATTCCACCTGCAGTAACCATAATCAATTGCTAATTACAATATATTTCTTTAAGACCTAACACTGTGAAGGTTACCTGGTCTGCCACCTCTGGTGTACTCCTACCTCCCTGCACCTTGTTGCCTTGAGATGGGAGAACAAGAGAAGATGCAGCAGGGAAGACCCATCGAGCTCAACCAGATGAGTGCTTTATGCAAAATGAATACACTTTATTACCTATTGATTACAATTGCAATAAAATGGATCTCATACATTCAACACATTCACACCACATACATACTGTATTTTTCCGTGTATAAGACGCCCCCACTTTTCTAACCCAAAATTAAGAAATCTAAGTGGGGCTTAGAAAATGTAGGGTAAAAAGGATCAAAGTGCTGCAAGATGGCTTTGATCCCTGATTTCTCCCTTTGTTTCAAGAGGGACGTGGTGGCGCTGTGGGCTAAACTGCAGAAGCCTGTGCTGCAGGTAAAAACATAAAGAAGAAGCTGGAAAACTTTTAAGATAAATTAATTTTGAAGTGATGGCAAGAGGAGAAGGGGACGACCGAGGATGAGATGGCTGGACAGTGTCTGCGAAGCAACCAACATGAACCTGACACAACTCCGGGAGGCAGTAGAAGACAGGAGGGCCTGGCGTGCTCTGGTCCATGGGGTCACGAAGAGTCGGACACGACTAAACGACTAAACACACAAACACAATTTTGAAGTAGTACAAAAAATTAAATACTTAGGAGTTATCATTACCAAAAAAACCCAGTAACCTGATGAAAGAGAATTACCTTAGAATACAGAAGGAAATTCAGAAGAACCTGGAAGACTGGGGCAAGCTTCAATTATCATTGATGGGAAGAATTGCAACGATAAAGATGATGACTTTGCCTAAACTACTATTTCTTTTCCAAAATTTACCACGAATGAACTTTAAATATTTGAAAGAACTGGATCGCCTGATAACAAAATTTATATGGAAGACTAAGAAACCAAGAATAAAACTATTACAGGACTTGAAAAAAGGGGTGGTGTAGGACTCCCAAACTGGTTACTATATTATAAGGCATGTGCAATGACATGGATAAAAGAATGGATAACCTTGGTAAACCAAAGATTATTGAAACTAGAGGGGCATGACTTAAGTATGGGTTGGCATGCATATGTGTGGTATGGGAAAGACAAGGAACAATCACACTTTGCTATTCCATCTTGGTAATCCTCTCTTTAAATTAATTGTTTTAAATTGAAATTGTAGTTGTAATTTTATGATTTTATATATTTTTATACTGTTTTGTTAAATAAATAAATAAATATACAGTGGTGCCTCGCTTAACGGGCGCTCAGTTTAGCGACGAAACCGCATAGCAACGAACTTTTTGCGATCGCAAAAGTGATCGCTTTGCGATGTTCCCTATGGGGGAATTTCGCTTTGCGATGATTGGTTCCCTGTTTCGCTTGCCGATCATTGCTAGCGATGATTTTTTAACAGCTGATCGGTAGGTCCAAAATGGCCGCCTGATGTGTTTTTGCACAGATTCCTCACTTAAGAGGCAGCGAAAATGGCCGCCGTATGGAGGATCTTCGCTTTAAAGTCAGTTTTTAGCCCATAGGAACGCATTAAACAGGTTTTAGTGCGTTTCTATGGGCTTTTTAAAATCGCATAGCGACGAAATCGCTTAGCAGCAGTTTTTGCTGCATGGATTAACGTCGCTATGTGAGGCACCAATGTATAGTCATAACCGAAAATATTGGCACCCTTGCAATTCTGTAAGAAAATGCAAGCCTTCTCTCAGAAAATTGTTGCAGTTGCAAATGTTTTGGTACTAAAATGTTCATTGAAACAACACAAAAAACTGGAGGCACCTCCATGCCTGACATTCCCCCTTCTGACGCCAACTGCTGCTTTCCCCCCACCCTCACCCCCAGTTTGGGCGCTCAGGCTCAAAAACGTTTGAAATCACTGGTCTAGGGAGAATCACTGTTCTCCTTCTATGATCAGCTTCTTCCCTGGTCACTTTCAGTATTTCCCTCTTGTGGGTCCAAGGATCTTGCAACCAAATCCATTCCCAACCTGGAGGTAGAATTTTTCTCCTTTCTATCTTTCTCCTTCTCCTGCTTCTATTTCCTCTGTCTCTCTCCTTTCCTATCTTTTCTAACTGGTCTTCCTTTACTCTCATCCCTGTCACATCCTGGGATAGTTCTTCCTCTTCCATTTCCTTGAGGATTCTCTGAGGTTTCCTCTAAACGCATTGTTAGTCCCCTTCTCTTTCAGCCTCTTTTGTGAGAAGGGATGGCACTCTAGTGAGCAGTGGCACTATCTTGCCTCCTGGCTCACATATGCAAACATCTTACACCTTGGCTCCTTTGCCCAAACCTTTCAGGGAGTTTACTCACAAACTGCAAAAAAGGCTGCAATCACCCCTAACCGAAACTAATTTTGTTAGGATATTGAAATAAAAAATGGAAGCAGAATTTACAAGCATGAACAGAACATTGCATAAATGCACCATGTGTCCTATCATGCTGAGTCATGATTAAGGAGGTGCAAAACTGATGCAATAGATAGCAAAGCGTGCTGCTTATATACCACCCCATAATGCTTCAAGCACTCTCTGGGCGGTTTACAAGTTAATTACACAGACTACACATTGCTTCCCTCACCCCAGTGAGCTGGGTATTCATTTTACCGACCTCACAAGGATAGAAGGCTGAGTGAACCTTGAGCCGGCTACCTGGGACTGAACGCTGGGTTGTGAGCACAGTTTGGCTGTAGTACAGCTGTTTAACCACTGCCTCTTTTCATATGTACCTTTTCATGTATGTCAAGGACCATATCCAGAAAGTTCAGCTTGCAACTTGGACCCTGAGTTGTGGAGTGCCCAAGGGGTCAAATAAATTCTTAAAGAAAAAAAAAGCTAAACAAACACCAGCTATCTTGACAAGATTAATCCTATCTAATGGTTCCAAGGACAAATAGACACCAGCAGACTCTTTTTAGAAAAATTATAACATTCTGGGCTATTTGTTCTGCTAGAGCTCCAAACAGTCCTTGCAGTACAAGAGAGAGAGCGAGAGAGGGAGGGAGGGAGAGATCTTATCTATATGGCCTCTTCACAGGAGGGCTGTCCTGTGAGCTGGTGTATTCATGTCTTTTATGTATGGGGGCCATTCAGAGCTACATTCCTGTCAGTTCCTCTTGGAAATATGAATTGATAAGATCCAAATTCATTCCTGAAACGGCGGCCCAGTCGTACTGAACACTTTGTATAATTGTTTCACAACTAATGTTAAGACTGTGTTGATGTTTGAGCACAACAGTTTATTTTTCCATTTTATTATTTACACCAGAAAAGCTTCTGTTTCACAGATCCACTGTGCTATGCTACCACAGGATTGTGAAGAAATCTGGTTGTTCTTCAGCATTCCACAGCTGTTTGGTTCTGCAATACCTAAAGATTGTGACCTGCAGAACAAAAGAGAAAGTATTGGTATGAAAACTATTCTCACGTGTTGCATCATTCCTTCCACATCTTACACCTCTTATGCGGATCTACAGATATACTGCAGGCACCTATAAGGACCTCTGTAATAGATGAAGGGCATGCACACAACTATTGTACCACAGCTGGTGGGTGTAATAATATGAAAGAAGAGATTGGAATTTGTTGTGGTTCCTGACAGGAAAGAAGAATTGGGTGGGAGCACCATCTATCACAGCATCACCTGGGAAGGGCTTCTTTCTTTTTAATTGAAGTTTATTGGAAATTGTGACAGCTGTGATCCACCTTGAAACATAGTTCAGCAGGGACTAATAATAAGAAGAAAAAGAATGAGAGGTTGAGAGTTTGATCCCCCACTGTGCCTCCTTGAGAGGGGCTGGATTTGATTATCCATAGGTGGTCCCTTCCAGCTCTGCAGTTCAAAGGGGAAGGGCTTCTTTCTTTTTAATTGAAGTTTATTGGAAATTGTGACAGCTGTGATCCACCTTGAAACATAGTTCAGCAGGGACTAATAATAAGAAGAAAAAGAATGAGAGGTTGAGAGTTTGATCCCCCACTGTGCCTCCTTGAGAGGGGCTGGATTTGATTATCCATAGGTGGTCCCTTCCAGCTCTGCAGTTCAAAGGTTCTTATTNAGTGCTTGAGACAACAAGATATTTTAAATCTACAGGTTCAGAACCTAGACCGGCCCTGGGAAGTCTGGAAAGAGGACTTGAATGTTTGTGTGGACATTGCAATGGCTGATAAAAAGGAAACTCTGAAAATGACGCTTTTAGATTATTATTTGATTGCAGAAAGTGGAAGAGAAACTTTGCACTGAAATAATCCTGAAATACAGCACACACTAGCTATATGGATAAGTTATCTGATGCACCCTGGCATTCCAGTAATAATGAAACAATAAAAAGATAGGTGTTTTTTTTGTCACTAAAGACAAAGCAATGAGAGAAGCAGTGAAGAATATTGCACTGATTTGAATTTGCTAGCAGGCAGTTGCAACATTGGAGCTATCAGGAACTCATTAGTGAGGGACCAAACAATATGTGAGATCTAGAACATTTGACTAAGGAAGATTATTGAGAAAAGTTGATTTGGTTTTAGAGAGAAGCATGAAGATTTTCAGGGCACCTGAATTGTTCAATGATTGTATCATGGTCCTGAGAAGAAAAAAGGTGGAGCTGATTGATGTAGGACAGAAGATAGAGGGGGAAAATTTGACAGATTAATAGTGACCAACTATTGCTGGTCACATACTGACCTGGGGCATTTCTTCCTATTTCTGCGCTTCATTACCCTTTATGGAGGAGAACCCACAGTGCACTGCAGTGGTGGTCAAAGGACAGTAGGGGGAATTGATACTGCATATTTGACAGAAGTATACCAATGTGGCAACATTCCTGTTTAAAAACTAATTTTAAAAATCAAAGGAGTCAAAGGACAGCAGGTGAGGCTGGTGGGGCCACATTCCAGATGCACAGGAAATGAATTGATTTTGGAGTACACATTCAGTTGGATGTTGGTTATACCAGAGGTCCCTAACCCCCAGTCTGCAGCCCGGTGCTGGTCTGTGGCCTGAGCCGGATTGGGCTGCAGAGACAGATCTCCCACCCACCCCCACGCATTCCCCCCACAAGTCCCTTTGTGCATGCATCCATGCACCTGCATGAGCACCCTGCTGCCATTTGCGCATGTGCATGAGCATGCCCCCCCGAGCACCCTCCTGCTCCTTTGTGTATGCACACAAGTGTGCACGCATGTACATGAGCACCTTCACACATGTGCACAAGAGTGAGCTCACCCATGTGAGAGAGAGCACTCCACACATGCGCATGAGCGCAGGGGGTGCTCGCCTTCCCCAGTCAGTCGGCAGGGTTAAAAAGGTTGGGGACTTCTGGGTTATACTATGCAATGAAACATGGAACAAATACAGTATAGTAGTAGCCTCCCAGCAGGATGGAATTGATACAGAGATAGCAGAGAGGCGGAAACAAAGAATTGATAAGAATTGTGTTATCTGAACCTTTTAAAAAGGGGTTGAAATTCATGAGGAGTAACTTAGAAACTTTTTTTTGTTGTGACCACAACCTTACTTATCCTGGCAGAATAAATGTAATGTGCTGTACATGGGGCTGCCTTTGGAAAGTTCTCAGAAACTTCAGCAGGTCCAAAATGATGCGACCAGAGTGTTAACTGGGGCTGGTTACAAGGCTAACATAACTCTCCTCTTATAACAGCTCCACTGGCTGCCAATCCTTCTCTGGGCATAATTGAAAGTGCTGATTTTAACTAGAGATGTGATATTCATATTTGTATCCCTGGGGAGATAAAAAGGAATATCACCACCACAGGTGGCTGGGCTGATTGGACCCTCCCCCCAGAACTAGACCGTCTACTTATTGTGTGACATGTGTGGCTGTTGTCATTCATGCTGCTCCAATCGTGGAAGTAGCCTGGCTGAAGATTCTCACCTCCCTGCATTGCTGACCTATCTGATGAGGAGGCGGGATGACGAGTCTCCCCACTCAGCTGCAGAGTAGTCAGTAGTGCAGGGAGGTGCTGAGTAGGCCAGTTGAGGAAAGAACATTTTGGAGATTGCTCATTGTCAGGGTCATCGTAAATCGGAGTTGACTTAAGAGCACATAACAGTTGCAGATTGAAGCCGAATATAGCTATTGATTAGATTAGGCAGTGCAAAGCAAACATTTCTAGCCAAAATCACTGTGAACTAAAGGAGGAAATATTCACGTTGTGTCATTTAATGGGGAGCCATCTATCCAGGACCAGTTGTCTCCAGCGGATGTGGTTTTAAGTCCAATCCATGGAAGTTTTCTTTCTTCACTAATCATCTTCCATATGAACCTCTGTAAATAGCAAAATACACCATGAAAACATAGAAAACCACATCTTTGTAGCCACATAGACTCTATTTCATCCTAGCTTTAAAAACAACAACACCAAAACAGAAATATGGTGATGTTTTCAAGGGTTGGTTTGATTGCACACTTTGTGGAACTGGAAAAAGGTGTAAGGAAGATGGTGTAAACTTCTGTTTTCTATACCTCTTGGATCTAGTATACCAACATCATTCTACACACTTTGTGCCTCATCAACTGTTTCCTACTAATGGCAGACCACTATATATCTCTTTCCAAGCATTCAGCATATGCAAGAACAGAAAATCTTGTGGGAATTTGAGCAAAACAAGGCTGACAGATGTCCTAAATGAAGCATGAATATGATATCATTCAGAGTAGAATTACAGGAGGAATTTTTGATGGAAAAAATGCATTCTTCCAAAAGCCACTTGTTTTGACATCCATATTTTCACTGAATGGGGGCCTTTTCCCTTTTTAAACGTTTGTTGGTATCAACATACACTACAGCTGTATATTTCAGTTAATAAAATATGTCTTAGTATAGTATAAACTGTCACTGGCAGAGAAACCCCTTCTTGGATGCACACCGAGTCAAACAATGAATTTAAATTCATTTATTCAATTCATACCCCGCCCATCTAGACTGAAGCCTACTCTGGGCAGCTAATAATACATTAAAGTAAAAACAATATAATAAAATAAAGATAACAGTAATAATATAATTCACGATGACAAAAGTAATTAGGTGATGACAGGAGGGAAAGCCTGCCTAAAGAGCCATGTCTTAAGTTTGCTCTTAAAAACTTAAAAAGTGAGGGAGCCAGGCAGATCTCTGTGGGCAGACATTTCCAGAGGCAAGGGGCCACTGCTGAGAAAGCCCCGTTGTTCTTTCTCTCTGGGCATCCCTCAGCATTAGGCTCTTCAGCTGCCCATTTTGGCTCGAACTAGTGATTCGGGTAGATCTAGGTGGAGGAGGCATTCCACTAGATATCAAGATCCTAAACCGTTTAGGGCTTTATATGTCATCATTAAAATCACTTTAAAATCAATGTGGAAATGAATGGGCAGCCAATGCAGGACAGCCAGAGTAGGGAAAATATGCTGGTATTTTTTCACCCCAGTGAGAAGTCTGGCCGCTGCATTCTGCACCATTTGAAGCTTCCACATCAGTATCAAAGGTAGCCCCACATAGAGTGCATTGCAGTAGTCTAGATTAGACTACAAGAACATGGACTAGAGAGGTGAGTGTGCCAACATCAAGATAGGGACACAGCTGCACAATACACCAGAGATGGAAATAGGTGGAGTGGACCACTGATGCTACCTCGGTTTCCATGGGGAGCGCTGGATCCAGATGGACCCCCAAGTTGCAAATTTCACTCTTTGGGGTGAGAGTCACTCCCCCAAAAGAGAGGGAGTTTCCCAAACCACAGATGGAGGGATTGCCCACCCTCAGGACTTCCATCTTGTCCGGGTTCAGCCTCAGTCCATTCTCCTGCATCCATTGCAGTACAGCCTCCAGGCAGCACTGAAGGGATGGAACGACATCCACTCTTGTTAGAAAAAAGGAGATGTAGAGCTGGATGTCATCAGAGTACTGATGACACGAAGCCCCACACCCCCTGATGAACACACCCAGAAGCCTCATATAAATATTACACAGGATTGGGGAGATAATTGAGCTCTGCAGAACCCCACAATTGAGACTCCATGGGGCTGATACACTCTCCCCAAGCTGTACTCTCTGAGGACGGTTCTCCAAGAAGGATGGAGCCAGGCAATTGCCAGACCACCGATTCCCAGTTCGGAAAGCCTCCCCAGGAGGATACCGTGGTTGACGATACAGAAGGCAGCTGAGATATCAAGGGCCTAATGAGTGTCTCCTGGAGAGACCCATTAATTATTGCAGTGGCCCATTCAGTTGTTACAGGCCTGGCTGACTTGATTAGCCAGGCCAAGCAAGGGTCAATGTAGGTAGTGGCAGCATGAAGCAATCAAACACTTTGTCCACCATATCTGACATCACAGGCAGAAAATGATTACATCTCATTGGGCAAGGTGGAGCACTGGACATCTCTGCTTGATCTACTGCATTCATATAGAGGATAAGATCCCAGTGAGGGCCTCCACTTTAGATTTTTTTTTAAAAATGCTGCAAATTGGTCAGGTGACATGCTAGTGGGAGGCCAATCACTGTGACCAACTCCAGATAGATCGTGGACTATATGGAAAACTTCTGCCTGCTGATTAGAGGCTTCACTTATCCAGACAACGAAGTGAGCTTGACTGGCAGCCCTCACCCTAGTAAGGTAATGGTTAGTAATGATCTTGACAGCTTTCCTATTATATTCCGTTGGGTTCCATCTCCAATTGCACTTTAGCCTTCTCCTGTTCTGCTTCATAGCTCACAGCTGCTGGTTAAACCAGGGCACTGGATGAGCTCTGCAATGGAGAGGGTGTTTAGGAGCCATCGTGTCAACAATGGTGGCAGTGGCAAGCCAGCCATCAAGCAGAGCCTCGACAGGAGCGCCAGTCAGATCAGCTGGAATCCCTCTAATGGTATCCTGGAATCCTATAGGATCTGATAACCTTCGAGGGTGGACCATTAAAGTAGGTCCTTGCTCCCTGTGAGGAGGGAGAGCCACTGAGAGGTTGTATTTGATTAGGTGGTGATCCGCCTATGACAAGGGGACTGACACAAGGTCAGTCACCATCAGACCTCACTTACTCTCCTCGGTGGAGAACACCAGGTCTAATGTGTGACCGCCCATGTGGGTGGGGGCTGTTGACATGTTAGAACATGTCCAAGGAAGCCATGGTTTCCAAGAACTCAAGAGCTGGACCAGAAACCTCCGACTCCGCATGGATGTTGAAATCACCCAAGACCAGAAGACTTGGGGATTCCAACAGTGCCACGGAGACTAAGTCTGCCAGCTCCAATAAGGAAATGGCTGGGTCATGGGTAATGCAGTAACCCAGCAAGATCTGAATACCATCCCTGTCCCCAATCGACACGTGGAGCACCTCAAGACCTTGCATCGCCACCACAGCATGCCTAACAACCACCAGAGTGTTTCTATAAACAATGGCTACTCCCTCCCTGCCCATCCAGTCTACCCTGGTGTTGGACTGCATAACCAAGAAGACAGGCAAGAGTCAAGGGAATGCCCCCCCTCCCTGCCCATCCAAGTTTCAGTTATTCATGCCAGATCTTCATCATCCTCTAAAATAAGGTCTTGAATAATCTGGGACTTGTTGGATACTTGTTGGCATTCAACAACACCAGATTTAGAGTGGAGGAACGGCTGATCTAGCAGCCTCAAGTCTGACAGGTGGTCACAGTGGCAGAACAGTGAGCAGCCTTCAAACATCTGTTCACCATTCTTCTGAAATAAGTAGGAACTGTGCTATTGCCATATCTCCCTCTACCTGTAATTACTCAGATGTCCAAAGGACCTGCACTGGGGGGGGGGGGCAAGCCTTCCACTGCATATCAAACAAAAGAGAAGAAAAGAAAGAGAAAAGACCAAAGAATTTAACATATTAAAAGTGAGCAATACAGTAATAACAAAGTTAACAAAATTATTCAAAATCATAACATAAAATTACACATTTAAATTAAACAATAAACAAATTAAGCAACTTAAAAGTTAAAACTTTAAG